CCAGTTGGGATCTCAAGCTCATTAAAAAGCTTTTGTACACCACAAGAAACCACAAACATAGAAGAGAAATCCCCCAAGTAGCAAAAAAAATGTTTTCCAGGTGTTCCACAGGCAAAGGATTATTATCAAGAACATATAAAGAAAAAAAAAAAAGAATATATAAAGAACTAAAAATAGGGCCGGCCAAATAGCTCAGCAGATTAAAGCACTTGCAAGCAGGGCCAGGGGCCAGGGGTTTGATCTCCAGGCCTGCTGTGCCAGCCCTGCCCATGGGGCATGCTGAGACGGCAACTGAGACTGGGCATGGTGGCACTCGCACCAGTAATCCCAGCTCTTGGGAGGCCATAAATAGGAGAATCACTACAAGTCCAATCTGGTAGCAAGACCTTGAACACCCTGTAGACCCTTCCCTAAAATACAGGAAAAAAAAAAAGAACTAAAAATTAAAAAATCAGAACTCTGAAATTCAAAAACCCAATCCAAAAGGAACACACTTCTCAGATGAAGAAATACAAACAGCAAATAAATATATGAAACAATGTTCAACAGCAGCGTCATGTGAGAGACGCAAATTAAAACAGCACTGAGATTCCATCTCATCCTAGAAAGAATGACTTTTATCAAGAAATCAACCTGGGCTGGAGAGATGGCTCAGTGGTCTAAAGCACCTACTTAGAACAAGCTTGGCAAGGCATCAGAGACCGCGGTTCAATCCCCCAGCACCACATGCCAGCCAGCCCCGCCCCCTGGTGGGCTGAGCTGGCCACACACACACACCACACTCTCTCTCTCTCTCTCTCTCTCTCTCTCTCTCTCTCTCTCTCTCTCTCTCTCTCAAAAAAAAAAAAAAAAATTAAAAAAAAAAAAAAAGAAATCAACCAACAACAAATGCTGGAGGTGTTGCACGGAGAAAGGTACTCTTCTGCACTGTTGGTGGGATTGCAGGCTGGTACAACCACTGTGAAAATTCCTCAAAACTCTAGAATTAGAGGTCTTATTTGACTCACCTTTTCCCTTGCTGAGTATCTTCCCAGAATGATTATCATACCACAGCAATACATGTACACCCATGTTTATAGTAGCACAATTTGTGCTAGCTAAATCCTGGAAACAACCCAAATGCCCATCAACTAAGGAATAGATAAGAGATTGCTCTGTACTACTCAGCCACAAAGAAGGATAAACTGGAGAGACTTTTACAGGTGAATGGATGAGACTTGAGAGCATACTCATAAGTGTAATGCCCCAGCTACTCACATGCAAACATTGCACTGTCTCCCTAGTATGAGAAGCTTAAAGAGTACACAAGAACCAAAATGTATAACAAGTATTGTAAAATGGGAGGAAAGAGAAATTGGATCAGGTAAAGTGAAAAGAAAGGGCAAAGCAAAAATTAAAAAATATATATGTGCATACAAGACAGTTAAGATAGTTATGCTACTAAGTTCTCTTAGTTCATTAAAAAATATTTGTGCTAATATTGTTTGGACAATTAAATGCCAATATCTTATACTATGAGCAATTAATTGAAAGATAATATGCAATATATTAACCACTGTTACCCTCCTATTATCATGCTTTGAAATTATGTTTCTCAAAATTAAAAAAAATTAATAAAGTTCTGTTCAAAAGGCTTTGTGCACTTTTGTTTAAAATGTCATCTATAAGGTTGTGGGAAGAGTTTAGTGGAAGAATGCACATTAAGCTTTGAAGATCCTGGGCTTAGGCCCTTGCAACGCACATACACACAGAGAGACATTCTCTCTCTCTCTCTCTCTCTCTCTCTCTCTCTCTCTCTCTCTCTCTCTGTCACACACACACACACAAATCTGCAAGTGCGCTCCATTTGCAATCATTCATTAACCATAATTCAGTTTTAACAATTCTTTTTTCCCCTACTTTAGTGCCTTTGCAAATCTCTCTTCAAAGTATAGGAAAAAGTCTTTAAAAAACCATTTACTTTTGTTTATCAGTTCATGCAGTTTACAATCATCTTGGGGAGTGCTTATACGTAAATACCACAGCTTGTTTCTTTTTTGCCATTTTTAATTATTGTTATTATCAATCTCAGCTCATGTTATGACACATAATGTTTACGTTAACTAGGTTACTAGGTTCCTGTACATGGCACATCTTTATTTATTTTCCCTTCTCCTCCTCACTCTTCACTCTTTTCCCCTTGGACTATTTCCCTATTGTAAGATTCATTCCCTTATCCCCTTCTATCAATTCTTTATTATTCTCTTTATTTCTATTTTGCCTCACTCAAATGAGAGACACAATATGGTATTTAAGCTTATGTGTCTGGTTTATTTTATTGAACATTATATTTCTCAGGTGTATTCATTTTCCTACAGATGCCCCAAATATGTCATTTTTTACTGCAGATTAGTATTTCACTATATATTGGTGCCACATGTTTTACCCAATCTTCTGTTAATGGGTGTATAGGCTGTTTCCAGGCTTTAGCTACTATGAGTTGTACTGCTATAAACACTGGTATGCATGGATCACTGTACTATGATATCTAAAGAAGGTACCTAGCAGGATTGTCAGATGATATGCACTTTCTAATTTCAAGTCTTGGGAAATCTCCATACTGCTTTCCATATGGTTGTACTAGTTTACACTAGAACCAACAAAAGGATCCTTTTTCACCACAGCCTCTCCAGCATTTGTTATTATTTAATTGCATAATGGTTGTCAATCTTTCTGGAGTAACATAGTCTTAGTGTTGTTTTAATTTGCCTTTCTCTAATGCAAATATGATATTTATGATATAAGATATGTTGAGCATTTTTAAATATATTTAGTGACCATTTGTATTTCTTCCCCTGTAAAGTGTCTCTTCATTTCTCTTGCCCATTTCTTGAATGGATATTTAATTTTAGGTGGCTTTATTTTTTCGAAATTCTAGACATTAATCCTGAGAAGTGGACATATGAGAACTTGTACTGTAACGTCATGTACCTCGGTAGTGTCCCAAATTTTCTGATCAAGAAGATTATGGGGCCAAAGAGGAAAGTGATTGATGACATAGAGTGGGCCTAAGGAGAGTCACATGGGGAGAAGACACTCTCTCAGGCTTTCACAGAGAGCACATTGGCCAAGCATTGGCCGTGACTCATCCGCATTGCTGCACTGATAAAGGTTCTACAATCTGAGGTACAGGATCTCAGGATAAATCCTGAGGGCATTTCACTAACCTTCTCAGACCAAAAAGCTACAACTCTTGTTGCATAGGTCCTGCTTTACCTTGGTCTTAACCATCCAGTAGAGAAAAGTAGGAAGACGAAATATAAGAAATAAAGCCATGCTGTTAAGTTGAGCTGTGGGGGACTCAGGTCAATAATTTCTGACATTGCCAGTTAAACAGAAGACCTAATGCTATTATGGGCTACTGGACTCTTTTAGAATACTTTGCTGAGTTTACACACCTATAATATTCAATAACGGAACTTAGAAAAAATGGGGTATACTGATGAATATCCATTTTGTATCTGTGTATTCAAAGAGGTTGGGATAGATATATAGTTGCATTCTCTTAATGAATAGAATGATTTGTTCTAATGGTGTTTGTAAATAGCTTCACAAGTCCACTTCGTGTACAGCAATTAACCACTAAGAAGAATATATGCAGTGTATTATTGGTTGAAACTGTACTTCCGATTGGATTTGAAACTGTCTCATTGCTATCTGTTTATCAATAAAACTTTGAAAAAAAAATCCTGAGAAGTAGTGGCAAGAAATGTTTTTCCACTCTGTAGGTTGTCTCTTCAATCTGCTCATTGGTTGTTTTGTTGCAGAGAAGCACTTAAGTTTGGTATGATCCCATTTGTTCATTCTTGCTGTTATTTTTTGTGCAATTGTGCACAAAATCCTTGGAAAAATTTCTTCTGACACCTATGTTTTCAAGCGTTTTACCATTTTATCTTTCAGTAGATTTAATATTTCTGTTTTCCTGTTTAGATCTTCAATCCATTTTGATTTTGTATATGGTGAGACATAGGGTCCAGTTTTGATCTTCTCAACCCGTTTTCCCAGCACCACTTGTTGAATAATCTTTGCTCCAACCTATGCTTTTGGCCCCTTTGTCAAAGATCAAATAGATGGAGGTGTCTTTTTCAAGGCTGCCCCTGCGCGCACTGTGCAGCCCAGGCTTGACTCAATCAGCCTGCTGCCTCAGTCTCCCAAGTGCTGGGATTGCAGGCATGTACCACCACACCCAGCTCTAACATTCTGAATTTCTTCAGCACATTAAGGCAGCCACAAAAGAGCAGTTAAAAACATGAGACAGGACTTCTAGAACTGCTTGAGGAAGTGGGTAGAAATATGGGATAATGTGCTTGAAGCAAAAGGGAATATTCTGAGGAGGGTTAAGGGCAATGTTTCTTTTATTATAATAAATTTCTTTAAATTTAAACATTGACCATACATTTTGCTCACACATATGTAAATAAACATCTAGTAAAAATAAAATAACTGGCAAGTTTTTCTAATTATATTGAGCTAACAGTAAGAATCAATACTGTAAGTAATGGGAGTACTCCAGAAACTTAAGGAATCCCAGATAATAATTAAGCAAAATAAATTACCCAAGAATAACTGAGAAATGAGTATAAAGATTACATGTTGACATTCTCAAATATGAAGCTGACTTTTCCTAATACTACTGCTTCAGAAATTTTCAAACAAGCTGTCTAACGATAAGAGGGAGACCACAGGCTGGGGATGGGAGGCTGTGGCTGAGCGTGGGAGCAAGTGTGCAGCGTGAGAGAAGTCCTGGTCCTGGCTTCAATCCCCTCACCGAAAGAAAGAAAAGAAAAATTGACAAATCTAGATTTAAAAAGTAATTTTTGGAAATAATTATCAATACAATTTAACTTATGTTAAATTTCTCCTTAATGTTTATAAATAGGGACTCAACTAAATTTGTGACTTGCTACCAAAGATATAAAAATGCACACATTTGAAGCCAATGTTGTTTCTCCCATACTCACTTGCAACGATGCGTCTTCCATCTGCTAAAATCATTTCTCCATTTTCCACTAGAGTTTTCAAAATACAAGTGACATTTGTTGGGGCTTTGTCTGCCTCATCTACTACCAGAACATGACCCAACTTTACTGCTTTAACCTTTGAAGACAGAAAACATATCATAAGCAAACAATAACATTAACCATTATTACAACTATCACTTACTCCTTTTAATTTATAATAGCTGGTTTTAAGATATGGGTATGTTTCATTTCCCTTTAGTATTAGAACTGTTCTTATGGTCATGGTACCCAACAATATTTCAGATCCTAGAATAGGGGGGAATTAAAACAAATATAACAAATAGATTAAAGTTTCATAGAAGCTAAGAAATGAGACATCATAGCAATTATGAATGTTGGCACACTGCTCTTAAAAGAACCATAACAAATGTAATGCTCCAGATAACAGATCTGTCCTGGGGAACTGGGTTTAATCCCCACACGGCCAAAAAAAAAAAAAGTGCAACATTATTTTAATAGATAAAAATGAATAGTGCAAAACAAGATAAAGGGAACCAGTCATTAAACTCTGGGATCATATTTAGTAAAAAGTGAGTAAGAGTAAGTCTATACTGGCTGTTATGAAGGTCAAATGTAACAAAAGACACGGTAGGTGAGACTGGGTTCAACTATTAAGGACTGAGTTCCTAGGCCAAGAAACATGTATTTATCTCATTAAGTAATGGTATATACTTCAATATTTGTGAATTTAGTCATGGTAGAAATAGAGTATGAAGATACACTTTAGTATATTTAAGCTGGCAACCATCTGCACAGCAGTTAAAAGGGGATTACTATAATAATTTAATTTAAAGAGTTTGGTCCCTGATTGGTGATGAGTTTGAAGTAAGTAGAAATAAAAAGTATTACACTGATCCTAAGAGTTCTGAAGATGTGCAATCTACAGTCTTGGCAACTACTTGAATAGGAGGAGAGGAAAAGTAAGAATACTAGATCTTTGGTGACTGTATGAATCATGACATTACCTTTTCTAATAGTAAGAAATATTTTACAGTAAACTCTGTCATAAAGTTTTACTATTGCATAGTTTTGATGAATAATTTCAAGGAGATATAGACCAATAGATGGGTGATTCCTCTTATCACAAATACTTTATAACATATTCTAAAATAACTAATAAGGATTTTTTTTTAAATTTAGGGTAATAACAAACTGAATTTTAGGAAAAGAAAACATGTTCCAGCCCCATCTCTGCTCAGGAAAAGTTGGGCCCAATCTGGGAAAGTTCATGTAGGAGATCCTGAAGACCCTGGTCCCTGGGGTCTGAACCACAGAACTTCTGTGAGGTCTCATTCCACCCATTCCTCAGAAGTTACTTACACAGAGGAACATTTCTGGCACCCTGGGATTTCTCTAGGTCTCAAGTAGAAAGATGAAGACTGGACCTTCCCAGCTTTCTAAACACTGAAGCTATTACTTAAAATTATTTTTACAATTTTTTTCTAGAAATATTACCTAATTTCAAACTCTATACATTTGAAAAAGTACAGAGGACTCCTGCCATTCCTAAGACTCTCTAAAGAAAGAACAAGAATAATAAAAAATGTTATTTTTCCAATAATTTGTATTTAAATAACCTCTCCTAAAATGACACAAGAATGAGTATGTTCCAGTTAGCCTGAAAGACATCAGAGTCTATGGGTATTCTCTCCACCCATGCAAAGGTCAAAATATAGCTATCATTCAAAAAGTACTTCAAATATCAACGTAATTGGCTTACTAACCAAAGGCGAATCTTCATACACAATGAGTCCATCTTTAACTGACGGCTGAAGAGTAAGTGTTTGCACAGTGGTGTCTCTACAGTCAGACAAACATATTTATAATTAGTAAGGAATTAAACTGTTGTTTGACAAGAATTCTTTTTTACTCATGATCCTGCTACATAATGAAAATAAAAAATAATTCAACCAATATTTTGTTGAATTACTATACAACAGATGGTATATACTACAATGTTTTAAAATTTTTATTAGAGTAAGACGCACTGTCACTAATCCCCCTCACAATACCCACTCTCACTTCAAACCCACTTATCTAATTGTTCTTGTCACTTTCTAAAGCAATTCTGCAAGTCCTCTTTTGTGAGTGTCTTTACAGATATTACAAAAAATATAGTGAACGCTGCTTTCGAGTATCATCTCGATGGAAAGGGAGGCTTGCAAAAACGTTACAATGCCTCATCTACTTTAGTCAACAATCTTGTACTATGAAACTTTAGGTTTTTCTCCAAGTCAAAATGACCATAAATGATGAGTGTTTAGAGTCAATTCAGAACATTCACAAAACCACAATAGTTCAACTAAAACTCATGAAAAATAGCTTCCTCAGCTGCTTCAGAAAGTAGCAAAAACAATGAGATAAGTGTGTTCAAAGAGGGGAAACGTTTTAAGGGGGGAGGGGGTTAATGGCAAAGTGTCTTTTACTGTAATAAATTTTAAATTTGGACTCAACTTCACTTTTTCATCATGTTTAATAAATTACTAGTGTTTAAAAATTAATCCAGGGTTACACATTAACCAGGTTCTTCTTCATTTTGGCAATCTGTGTAACCACTTCATAGCTCAAAGTCACCTCCTGAGGGTGAAGAGGAAAAATTTTTTAAAATTCATATATTACATGTGATATTTGTTATCTAAAAATAATTTTAATGAGAAGTCTGGTACTGACATGCCACTTATAAAAACCAAGTGTATAAATTACACATTCAGACTAAACTTGAAATCACAAGATACTAAAGCTAACCAATTCACTCCACTCCAAGAATACTAAAGGTTTACTTCACAGGATTTCAATCATTTCTGCTGAGATTAGGGTGATCCATTTTATTTCCTTTAAACCTACTTTCTACTGTTTATCTAGCCTTTTTTTGCAATCATGATATTCTAAGATATCAATAGTAAATAAGTCTGACACAATGAGGCTCTTTCCTTATAAGACAGGAAGCTTATATCACCTATGGATATTCTGCCAGATGTTTGCAGATAAACATTTTCAATGTTTATTCAAATAGTCACCCTCTGCATACATTGTATATTTAAAATGGAAAATCATATGGCCAGCTTCATTATGTCAGAGAGAACTGCAACTATTTAACAAATGTAACACTTTTCTTTAGAAGAGTTCAACACTGTCTTTTTAGTCTACCCCACTACTTATTCACATGAACTTGCCATTACACGTTTTGAGTGTGTACTATATGTTAGACACTACTTGAACATGAGCTTCAGAACTTCATGCTATATAATATACTTGACAGTTGAGAAAATTATATCCAAATGCTAAATTTCCTTATAGTCTTTTCTTTTAACTTAGTATAGGGTCTACAGGGTCTCACTACACAGATCAGATTTGTAGTGATCCTCCTGTTTTCAGCCTCCTAAGTGTTGGGATTACAGGGACATGCCACCATGCCCACTCTCAATCACCATCTCAGCACACCCCGGGGTCAGGGCCGGCACGGCATGCCAGGGCTTGTACCTAGGTCTCTGCACCTTCCGAAGCAGGTGCTTTAGTCCACTGAGCTATCTGGCTGGCCCTGCAATTCCACTATAATTTGTTAAACTACAAAATTATGTCTTTTTAAAAATAACAAACACCACAAGTCAACTTAAAGCAAAGCAAACCTGAGTACCACTCAGGTATTATTTTTTGTTTTAGCAAAACAAGTCCAGTTAAAATCAGTTCATTGCTTTGGGGCATAGTTGTGGGGTAGTAGAGTCAGATCACGCAGCATCCAAATTCTTGTTCTGGCCATGTATTAGCCATATGATCTTCAGTAAACAGTAAAATCTACCCAGGAAGGTCAATGATGGAATACTTAAAATGAAGTATAGTATCTGGCAAACAGCAGAAATGTCTGCCAACTTTAGCCATTTGTTGCTCTAACTGCTAGTGTTGTGACTGACATTTTTTTGCCTAACTTGATCTTCAAGCTTTTAGGATAGATGGCCCTTTCTGAAAATCTCCTCTTAGCCCTCTGTAGACCAATTTAGGTTATCCTGCCAAAAGTACTGTGTGGGGTTCTGATTTCTCCTCTTTCTGTCCTGAACATAATATATCAAAGTTACTTATTTTAATATGTATCTTCCTATACAACCTGTAAGATCTAAGAGTATAGAATATTTATACACTACTCCTCATTCTGTCTCCAACATTTAGTAGATGTTTAATTTAGGAGTTCAACAAATACTGGTTGAAAAAATGCAATAAAATGGTGAAAGATAGAAAAACTACACTGTAGGTAATACTGAATGATACTGTGCATAGACTTTCAAACATATTAGTTCATGAATCTCATCTTTTTAAAAAATTGAAAATCTTAAACATACTCTAGTAAATCAGTAAGGCTGATTTTCTTAAAGGTAAGGAATTGTCCTAATTGGTTTATATTGCTCTTAAAATCAGTGTGAACACATTTTTTTCTCTTCCTCACCCACCCTCTTCTCTATTGCTAGAATGTTAACAGTGAATTTAAGTGAGTTAAACTCTGTTTTTGATTTGTTCAGTACTTTAAAAATTAATTTATCAGCAAAAGATAGTATGAAGCACCTGAGAGTAAATTTATAGGACTTGTGAATACAGAAAATTGATATATGACCATCATAACATTGCACAAGAAAATTTTTCCTCATATCAAAAGTTGATAAGCATCAATAAATGGCCACAATACGGTATGAGAAATTACAGCATTTGAAGAAGGTACACATGGGGTTGACTAGCCAAAGAATGGAAATGATTTGTTTCTTTACTTAATTCCCTTGGGGCCTGGCCCATTGCCATTCTTGTCTCTTCTTATGTCCATTACATGCTCTAGCTGAGTTGAATATAGACTTGCTATTGTAGTGGGTAATTTCTATATCAGAGTTTTAATTTACTAGGTTCTGAGTAGACACGATAGCAAAATAATTATTAACATGTACAATTTCTAGACTTCCTGCCTTATTTATGCCTAACATGAAGGAATTCTCCTGCACGTTTTCTTTTTCTTTGTTTGTGTTTTTATGTATTTGGTTCAAGGTCTCACTATGCAGCTTGGACTCACAGTGATCCTCCTGCTTTCAGCCTCCCCAGTTCTGGGATTACAGGGGTGTGCCACCACAGCCGGACTCAGTTGCTGGCTCAGTGTGCCCAGGGGCAGGGCTGGCACAGCATGAATGCTGGTGATCGAACCCAGTCCCTGAGCTTGCCTAATCAGGCTCTTAGTCCACTTAGCTATCTTGCCAGCTCTTAGGGGTTCTCCTTCTAATTTGACCAAGTGGTGCTTTGATTCTTTACTTAATTCCCTTGGGGCCTAGCCTATTGCCATTCTTGTCTCCCCTTCCAAGCTCTCTCTCCCAGGATCCTGGCCCTCAGAAGGCTCAGCACCCATCCAGTGACAAACAGTTCAGACACTGTTTGTCTTTATTAAGTTCAGACTCCTTTATGAAGAATTTATTCCAAAGAATTATTCTTTTATCTTCAATAAAAACCAAAACATGTCTACCTGGGAAATGGTAAGGAAGCAAAAACGTATTGTGGCCATTTATTGACGCTTATCAACTTTTGATATGAGGAAAAATTTTCTTGTGCAATGTTATGATGGTCATATATCAATTTCCTGTATTCACAAGTCCTATAAATTTACTTTCAGATGCTTCATATTATCCTTTGCTGAAATAAATTAATTTTTAAAGTACTGAACAAATCAAAAACAGAGTTTAATTCACTTAAACTCACTGTTAATATTCTAGCAATAGAGAAGGGGGTGGGTGAGGAAGAGAAAAAGATGTGTTCACACTGATTTTTAGAGCAATATAAAGAAGTTCTCACCTTACCTAACACATATTTAATGGGCAACAACATGACACCTTCTAGTACCAAAAAGGAAAATGAAACTCTTGCATCATTGTCAGTAGCAGGAAATTCAGTTAATACTATATATAATCACTTATAACATTTCATAGCAGATTAAGAAGAGTAAATTCAAGCTGAATTCTCATTTTAAAGACAAAAATGAGTTTGTTCTAAAACACATGAATTCTGGTGGCATACAACTTGTTACAATAGGATTCTCAAAAGATGTTTGTGCTAGAAATATAAATCATATATTTGAGGGGAGCAGCATAAATCAGGTGATATCCAAAAGAGACTGAAATGGGAATCCAAATGGCTTTCGATGGAATAGTCTGTGACAAAGAAGAATTTATAGGATAAAGTGGTTTGTTCTGTTCTTATTGATCCTTTCATCTTGTGCTTCAAAGGAAAAGAAAAAGCTAGTAAAATATGCAAAATGATACTGAGCTTAAAATTGGGTTGAGTTATATTTCAGTCAATTACCCTGATTACACAGGGCTAGCAAGCAATGTATTACTTTCTGCATAGTACTTAAGACAATAAGAAATAAACTTAATGCCTAAGACATCCTCTGATATTGTAACTTTCAACTTAATAAGTGATAAGGTGCTTACTATATTGTTACAGATAGCAATGAATGGATTCTTAAAGACAATATAATGATTCTTTTATAGAAAACATTAAAATAATTTCTCCAAATTTATGAGTATTTTGGATCAAAGGCATTAACTCGTTAAACAAGAAGCACTGACCCTCACAGAATATTTTACCACAATTGCTATTATCATTTGAGTTGTTCCTCTCAAAAACAATTTTGAAATATAAGGTAGAAAAGAGTGAACAATTTTAATAATACTATGGAAAAGGTAAAACACAGATGAAAGTCCATTTTGTATCTGTGTATTCAAAATGGTTAGGATAGATATATAGCTACATTCTCTTAATGAATAGAGATTTGTTCTAAT